ACCATCTTCCATGCCTTTTCATCTATATATTGTGTAATGACTCAGCTGTGCTATTACAGCACCTGATTCTACTGCTGGATCTACGCAACCATCAGTAGTAGTGTTTCGCTTCAGAGAGAACAGTTTAATAAACATGGCCTTAACAGCAGGGACAGAACTCTTGATAACCTCAAAAGAAAATGCGTCTCATCCCTGAAACTCTTGTTACAACAATATTAAATCATTCCTTCCTAAAAGATGTCTCAAAGTCTTTTTGGAAAAATGGGAGTTTTAACTCTAAATTGTATGATGACTTTTTTGAAATGTTATCTGGCTAGGAATTGGAAATAGGTCTGGTGTACCGAGGCATAACCCACAAAATGGAAACCTGTGGTCTTCAACTGAATTACTTTGAGGAATTAAACTATTTTAGTTGGAAAACACTTTTAGTATGGGAATAAATGCACTCAGATCAAAGTAACCCATTATAGCTAAATCTATGGAGATTTTGAACATCTTTCAGATGTGTCCTAATTTATTTTAATTGAATGCTTCCCATGAGTGTTAAAGGGCTGGAAAAAATCAAGCAGTTGCTTTTTCTAGTTTCTGTCATCTTTAGGAAAGTTATTAACCTTCAAGTTAGGGACTGTGTTTCGTGTCACGTGATGAACAGTATTATCTTACTCTGTAGGGACAGAAGGTTTGGAAGAGCAGTTGCTTTGGTCTTGAATGTCTGGAGAGCTGAGGACGTAGTTGTTGTTCTGCTGGCTTCAGATACAGAAGAAGTAGTGAAGAGTGACATAGTTGTACGGAGCTGAAAGGGTATGTAATGCTTCACTTCAAAACTGATCTCATCCTTTACCTGAAGCTGTTGGTATGCCAGGCAGTCTTTGACTTGTTTTGGTGCAATTACTTGTCCACCTGTGAAAGTCTGCGCTTTAATCTTTTGTTTTCTGTATTGTAACTGAAGAACAGTGACTTAGATAAAGAAGGAATGGTAATCAGAAAAGTAGAAGAGAAGGAAGCAGCAGGATACTGGCAGGATTGGAGTATTTGGCTTAAAATGCAAGAAATGACAAAAGGCCGAAAATGGTGTGTTGCTAAGGTGGCTTGGAGAAAACATCAGCAAAACTGTCTAAGCTGTAAATCTGGTTCTAGCAGCTGTGTGACAAGTAACTTTGGAGACGAGACTCAGGGTTCCTGGATCTCCCTAAGAAGTGGTAAGAATTAGGGAATCAATGTCTGGGAAAGCAGCAAGATCACTAAAATAGTTTAACATCTTCCTTGTTGTTCCAGCACGTTGGAAAGGAGTCCTCAAAAAAGAAAATCCTTAGCACAGAACGTGGGTCCCCATTATGCTCTTCCAGGCGAGAGTGCAGGCACCCAACTGCCTTGTCTGAAACCATTTCCTTTTACATAAGTGCACCCAGCACTTGGGTGCTTCAGCAGCCTCCCCAGAGCTTCAGAAAGAAGAGGCTCCTGTCCTTTTCTCCCATTACGGAGTGCAGAGATTGCAGTGCCTACTTCTGTTATGTTCTCATGCTCTAATAGCTTGTTATGCTTTGTCTCACTTACGCTGTGAAGTGCCAGTCACAGCTGCCATAAGCCCTTTTTGTTGACCAATTTACATTTTGACTAGCAATAATTGTCTTTTTATGCTTAACGTTATGGATTGCACTAAAGCTGAATGGTGTATTGTGGGCTATTAGTTCAGCCCTACAAGGAAGCTCTTGTGTGAGCGCAGCTCTAACAAATGACCTAAGCGACTCCGATACAAAAACTGTGCAAAGTTGTTCTTCTCACTCCTTTAAAGAGTTTATTTTTATGTTTGCTGGTAACTACCCCATGTATTAGGCAAATTTATTTTTAGATATGGACTCCGTCTTTTTCAGCATTCATAAGAATTTCTGTTTAGCAGATGGAATTTAATTTCCTGCGGTGAGCTGTCATGGATTTGGTGTAGGCTTGAGGATGTGGACTCAGTTCATGAAGGATAACCCCATTTTGGGTCCGACTTCCACTCCAGTTCATTTCCATGGGGAGACACTGGTACAGGACTAGTAATTCTAATAGGTGTCAAACACAGAGCAATTGATGGGAGAGCTGAGCTTTCTGGATGTGAAACCTTTCTGGAACCTCCAGTTCCTCGTGCAAAGATGCCTTTAAGTATAATTACACTTGGTAAACCAAGGAAATTTCTTCTGGAAACCAGTAAGGGTTTGGTTTCTGAATTACACCCCATTCAGACTTGCCATGTAATAGGTGTCAAATCTCCCAGTCAACTGGGTTCTTAAAGACAAGTTTTTAGTGGAATGGTTGAACTCTAAGACCTTCTTAACAAGTACTCGCCCTACGGAAGCGTGCAAGGGGATTAGTTATCTGTCAGCGTTGACTTGGGTACTTGAGGTAGCGTTATGCACAGCTAATACCAGATTAGTGCCTTTCCAAGCAGGCAGGGTAAAACTGGCTGTGTTACTTCAGCTTGTGAAAGCTGAAATATGTCTGTAACAATGCACCTGAGACGCTAAAGATTGATGATTTTTTATGTGCCAGTAAGAGGTTTAAATGGATTTCAGTGGAATTCAGTTCATGGAGAGGCAGTGTTGTGCACAGCCTAGATTTTACCATCAAACGTGGCGAGCAGTTTGTGTCACAGCAAATTAACTTTCTTGAAATGTGATTAAGCTGAGAGCAGAGACCACACCAACTGAGACTTCAGTTGTGAAGGCTAGATTTGCACAAGGGAAAAAGATGTATTTCAAAAAAGAGGAACAGGAGGCTTCCTCTTAAGTTGTTTGCCTTTTTCTTTTTTTGATGTTTGTTATATTTAAGCCAACAAAGTGTGACTGAAGTTCCCTAAACCAGAACTTGTTTTTAGTGTGGCTGTGTGCAGAACAGTGCTGATGGCTTTTGCTTTCTAAGCAGCTTTCTGTGAACAGCCTGGTGGCTTTCTAACTGTGAATGCCCAATTTAACTGTTTCCTTCTGCAATTTAAGCTTTGTTTGTGCTAAATGTGCATGTAACGTGTGTGATATACATGTAAGATTATATAGCTATATAAATACATACTTATATATATATGAAATAAGAGCACCACTAGCAAGTGTCGTCAGCAGAAACAAAACTCCCCCATCTCCATGGACTTAACTGTCCTAATGAAATTAGGAGATGGCTAAACATTTGATCCTTGCATCACCGTAGCAACTGGCCGGTTATCCTCAGCTGCTGTAACTCCACTGACTTCTCTCTGTAACTCACTTCCAGAGTGTCAGGCTGCTATAAAACTGATCTGAGGGGAGAGAGAGGTTCACATTTCTCTGGTGTTTTGACGAGCAGTTCAGAGCAAACCTTGGGTCGCAAGTGACTGCAGAACAATGCTGTAGAGCTCTTTCTGCAGCAGGTCAGTTCTCTTGTCCTTGGCCCACTATAGAGCCCTTCAGCGTTTTTCAGAAGCAAACTTCTGCAAGGCTGTTTTATTAATTTTCTTGGTGTTTTGGATGTTCTGGGGCCCAAGTTTCAGGCAATAAAAGCTGTAATATGCAAGAGAAGAGTTTCTGCTAGCTTGCTTAACTAGCCAGGTTTCGATTTCTGAACATTCCATTTCAGGAAGGAGGTGTTGGAGGAAGGATTCCTTCCAAAGACCTTGATGCTTTTGACTCTTGGGTTTTAAGTAAAACCCCTTTAGTAATCACATTCTGGATAGCAATTTTATTGGTATTACAAGTAATGTACAAGTCTTGTACTTGTTCAGAGGAACATCTGTCTAAAACTGGCTTGTGAAACCCTGGAAATATTAACCTTCTAACATTTTATGAAAAAAAATGAGAGAATTATTGCAGCCAGAGTCAAAGGGGCAATCTCACTCCTGTTTACCAGACCTGAGTTGCTGCTTGGCTCTTAATCCTACATAAATCAAAGGGGAAGTATTTTTTCTGTAAAACTTTAATTTCCTCCACGAGGCAGTTTTATATAACCTGTCATTTTGATATTGCACTGCTTTTCTGTCCAGCAGAAGTAGCATATCCAAAACTGTAAATCATGTTTGCTTACAAGGAGAAATGCAATGCAAATAAGATGCTTCTGTTTTGTGGGACTATTTTTTTTCTTTTTTTTTTTTCCCTATTTTTTTTTTCCTCCCCCTTCCCCAGAATAAAATTCCAGAAACTGTTTTAGGTTTCAAGAGAGTATTTTTAAAGCCAGGAGTCTGACCGTCTACTTTCTATGTGTTTGATTGCCTAAGAATTGTCAGCTGTTCAGGTTTTGTTTGATTTTTCTTTTGAGGGGGGACCGAGGGGAAAGAAGCTCTTGCAACACTCTGATTTATGCTGGCTTCTAGTTATTGCACTGTTTACTCTCCTGGATAAGGAAAACCACAGCTGTTCTTTTGGACATTTTAGGGCTGATCTCACTAGAGAGACTAAACTAGCAGGTTTATACTTCTCAAAAAAGCTTTCCATCAGAGAGCTGCTTCCATGGGAGAGTGTAGCTTTTCTGGTTTGGAGATCCGGGGCTGTGCAAAACATGAGATGCCGTTCTGTATCTTAGTTACCATACTGAGGGCTGGGGTTTTTTTAGGTTCTGAGGTTTTTGAGGTCTACTTGCATGCTAACTACCTGGAAGCTTAGTGCCAGAGTAGATGTTTTCTGATGTGAGAATCAAATCTTAAGCGCCCCTCTCTCCGGATCGAAGTGAGGTTTGTATGAGGCTCTGCTGCTTCTGGAGCCCAAACAGTGGGCTGCTTAGTAGAAGGGATTGTCTAAGGAGCTTTTATTCAGTTGTTAGAAGTGAGGGAGTTTTGTCATTTAAGTGAAAAGTTCAGATGTATGTAGGTGGAAATGTTTTAGTCTTTGTCATTGTGGGGATTGAATCACTTTCTCATTTTTAATGGTGTAATGCTGGGTAACTGTGATTAGGATTTGGAACGGCTGGATGTTTGCCTGCATCCTTTGACTATGGAGTAAATGGCGTCTTCGTAACCAGAAACAGAGACATTGTGCTTTTCGGTTTTCTTCTGCTATTAGATTCCCATACGTGGCTGGTCTATGAGATGGCAGAGAATGGAACAGATTGTGACCAGAGACGCATAGGAATGATCAAAGAACAGCACAATGGAAATTTTACAGGTAGGTGGCAAATGATTTAATGTTCTCGGCTGGTCAGCCCAGCGTGTAAATGGCCAGCATGATACGCAAAAGGAATTTGTGTTGGGGCACTTTATGCCCAGATAATGCGAAGGACCTCAATATTTGAATCAGTCATGGAAGCTTCAGTCATCTCTAAATCTGAAGTCTAGGGGGTTTTGTATTGTAAAGCCACAAATAATTTTATGCTGTGTATTTCCATTCTCTCTTCTCTTATACTCTTTTCTCCTTCCAAAGTTCTTATTCTGTACTTGTTAGGCATGTGAGCCCTGTAAAGCTGATGTGGGTATCAACAGGGGCTGCAACAGGACTGAGCTGAAAAACTGAACTGTGTTGGCAAATACGTGGCTGTACATGTCAGGCTGTACAGCCCCACCCTTTGGCACTGAAAAGTTAGTACTTGGTAATAAAAATCTGTTTTACTCTGGGAGAAATCTGGTTATTATAGTCTCCCAATTTCCAGCTTTTCTGGTGCTATTTAGCTGCACTACAACTTCTCGGTTTCAATGATAGATTACTAACAAAACAGTTAACTAATACATCTCCTGCCTCGCCTCTGTTTTTCCTACTGTTATGCCTGAAGTAGGCTTGGGTTAATGTTTAGGAATTGTGAAAAAATAACCTGAGAACACTTCATGGAGAACCTTGTGTCACTGCATTATCTGTGCTGTGTAGGGCAGCTTAGAAACGATGATCGTTTTGGTTTGTTTCCTGTCATCTTTGAATGTGCCACTTCCATATTTAATGAAGTTTTGTAACCAAATGATTTCTCAAGTTGTGTGCAGTCTTACACCATTGTCTTTTATGACCTCTACTAAAAACAAAGTCATAAAAATAAGGTTGAAGCGTTTTTATTAGACACATTAATTGGGAAAAAAAATGGAGACTAGAAATTCTTGAAGCAATGAATGTGGCAGGATTTAAAGAGGAACCGCACACGTGTATGTATGGAATATATCAAAGCCTTTTACTTAAGGGCTTAAAATCGTTCTGTAACTCTGAGGGAACGTGGACGTTATCCAGAATCCCTTGCAGGGTTTCTGTTAGCTCATCTAAAGCAACTGATGCTTACAGCTAAAGAATACAAAATTAAATGGGCTCTGTGACTAATGAGGTATGCAACTTCTATGTAGATATTAGTGTCTGATAAGGCAGCATGTTTCAATTACAGGAATAAGACTGAAATAATAGGTCTTGGGTTACAATGTGCTGGGGGTTCAGATTAGATTAATATTTTTAAAGTAACAGCTTTTTACAAATTTAAAACTTATGAGTATTATTGCAATGCTTTCAATGTATGCAAAACATATGTTTTGACTTTGTGTAGTAAGTGGTGTTTAAACAAGTTTGGTCTCTGGATACAAGAGTTATTTTTGTGTATTTTTTTCCACTGCTTTGTGGTATTTTCTTTTTATTTTCTTTGAAAGTTTAAAAATTACTACTGCTTATTAGCTTGACACCCTTTGAACAAGCCATTCCCATCCAAAAAAAATCACTAGGGTTTGTATTAATATTGGATGTATTGTAAGCACAAAATAACACATTTATTAGAAGAAGCTTTCTTCTGTGCTTGCGTGGTGGCGTACAGCGGGTGGTGCTACAGCAGTGTTGAGCTCTGCATGATAACCAGATCACTGCAGTTAAAGGCACCCACATGGATAGTGTCAGTCCAGTGAAGGACTGTGCTCCTTTTTAATGGGAGCACTTCCTGTCTGGTGTAGTGGGCTCATTTTGGAGAAGCTGAACAGCGTGGCAAGGCTTACCATAGCCCAAGGATCCTGACTGGGAGGGTAGATGCTGTTATCCAGTTATGTGCTGACTGAAGTGTATAAAGAGCAGATGTAATTCAATCTAGTTTGATTAGAGAAGTCTGAGAATAGCTTTGGAAGAGAACCAAATTCAGAAGTTCGCAGTGAAATGTGGTCTCTGTAGTGGGCGATAGTTGCATTTGACCTGATGCAACTGCTAGTGCAGTACCTTGCATAAAGGCTAATAGATAAGCCAGACTTCTTGCGCCCTGGGCCATTTAGATTTTTGAATAGCGGTCAGCTACATGGAAGAAAAAAGCCACCTTACTTCCTTTGCTGGAGGTCACCTGATATCTGATGCCCTTGGAGCAAACGTATTGGGTTGAGCAGAAAAGATGACTGGGAGCTCACATTAACCTTCTAACAAAACAAAAGATAACATGGGGAGGCACTGGGACAGGTCAGTATGTTTTTGGGTGGGACAGAATCTGACCGGTCAGCCTGTGCTTTTACAGTTCTGTTACTTTTCATTTGCAGATTCCTCTTTGTTGAGTGAACGGAAGCGAAGGGACCGAGAAGAGAGGTTGAATATTGTCCTGTGGAGACAACCGCTTGTTACCCTGCAGTATTTTTTCCTGGAAACTCTAATAAGCTTGAAGGAATGGACCATAAAGTAAAGATAATTTCTTTAACTTCTACTAAGCATTCTGGGGAAACCCATGCTCTGATTCAGTAGGTCATTCTGACATCTTGCTTCCACTGATGATTCACAACTTCAAAATTCTTCTTTCAGAAAACATCTTTATTCTTGTACGTTAAAGGGAGCTACTGGGATGTACTTCCAGCTGTGTACTCAGACCTGCCTAAATTACATAAGTGTTAATACAGTAAGGTGTCAGTGGAAGTAAATCACCAACTTCCATTCTGAAGAGTTGAATATTCTAATTTTAAGAAGAGGGACAGTGTTTAGGGATCCTTAAGGAAGAGATACTGTACTTAGGACTACAGTGTTAAGTACTGATATACTAATGTATGTGTTAGTATTGCTGAATGATCTTCAAATAGCTCAGCTAGGGCAGGGTTCAGGACTACGTGGAATGTACAGTGATGTTTATGATGCTGCAAAGAGGACTTTGCTTGTAAGCTACGTGGTCTCTTTCACAGCAGGAAATGATTTATTAAAGCACTTGCCCCAGGCATTATTTACACAGTGGATAAAATGGGCTTTCATTCCAGGTAGAAAATTTGCCAGTAGTGGGCCTAACGTCCTGATGCTGAAATGCATGGCTGTTTCTTAATGCACTAGGCTTGAGAGGGTTTGATGTGCCAAAAGGCAAACATGAGCAAAATTGGCAGCAGAAAAAAACAAGAGTAGCAGTGATTCTAGTGCTTGTGTTGGTAACTGAAATTTCTTGTGTTTGGGATTGAGTTTACAACCGTCTTCTCAGTCAGCAGATAGGATCTAATATCACCTTGGGCGATCCTAGCTGTTGGACCGCTCGTTTGCGGAGCAAGCCGAGATTGGTGACAATCTGGGATGTTCGTTGACCCTTCTGGGCTAGGGTCAAGGTGCTGACACGTCAGATCCATTGAGAGAATCTTCTGTTTTCCATTTTGACCTTCTGAAATGATTTGTACAAAAAATAACTGGTTTACGTGGTGTACTCTTTTTACACCCCCACCGCACCAAAAAAAATCTGATGCTGAAACCTACTTATTTGGCTATGTACATTGTTTCAGCTATTGTTGGGTGTTGTTTCTTTGAGAACTGTTTTATTGGGTCTTACCTTAGCCATTTCTGACAACCTCCAAGCATTGATTTACACCCAGCTGAAATAACATTTGAGGTCTTATTCGAAGCTATTACCTGGCTGCCTAGACATCAAATTCTGTTACAGATAGCACTTGTGTCCTTTGTGGTGCAGCACGTCTGTCTTGTCTAGCACTGGCGTGACAGTACCTTTACAGGTCATAACACTGGCTATTATAAGCTCTTGAGACCTCAGACTGACACTTAATGATCTCCTGTGTTCCACTTGAGCAAATCATGATTTAAATGCCGACAGTCACTTGAAAACCCAATTCTCATATGAATATAAGCAGCACAAATTATTTTAAGATTAAAGGAAAGTTAGAGTGACTTTTTTCAGCTTGCTTAATATAAAACATTTATGACTCTTCCTTTATTACATGCCTCCTATTTCTGTCTTGGTCTAAATAGATGAGTTATGCTCCTAGCTTGCTATTTCATGTCTGAGATTTTTACGTGATGCTAGAAATACATCAGGTGACAGTACAACAGGGTTTCTGAGAAAATAACAAAGGTATCTGCTAGTCTACGCATCAGGCAGTATGAGGTGAAGTCTCGTAAAACTCACCAGGCACAAAAGTAATTGGGTATCAAATTACGTACGAAAACATTTTTCCCCCTTACTGTAATAGCTTCCTAATGCTTCATAATTAGCTAAAAGGTGTTTACTAAACTTTGAGCTGTTAAGAGAGATAGTAATTTCAACCGAAAGAATGTAAAGATGTGTTCCTCTTGCTGTGGCTCTGTCCACCAGCACGCAGTTTGAAATCAGCACTTCTGTATTCCACCCTTGCCCAGAGCCAGCGCCCGCTTTGCGCTTTGCTTAACCATGGATGTTGTTGATGGCCCTGCCTTTGAGTCTTGGCAGCAGAAGCTGAGTATTTGTTTTCAGACAGTTACTTTGTTTTTCTTTATTTTAAAAATATGCATGGGTGAACTTTGATCTCGCTTGACAGTGAAGCAGAGATTTTTCCATAAGGAATAAAGGCTCCCTAGATATTTTCTTGGGAATTTCATGCTTTTATAACAGCAAACTTTTCAACTGCCATTGTCCCTGCTGACTATGTCCACACAGACCCAGTCTACAGGGATAACTGAGTTACTTTGAAATGCATGCTGAATTATGAAAAACCCTAATTACCATTTGTCTTTTAAGATTGTGGCATCGGCGGAGTATCTTGGTGTCTTTTTTACTGACGCTTGCAGTGCTTACAGCTACGTATTACGTTGAAGGAACACATCAACAGGTATGGGGCTTTCAGGTTACTTTCCTTAGTCACTAATCCTGTCCTGGTGCTAAATAAAGTAGATGTACTAGGAATTTAATGGGGTCTTCATGAAATTGTAATGTATCTTTTGAACTCTTACTCATTGAGGATATTTGCTTCTCATGTCATGACTGTTGTGTGTGGATGAGTTGCATTTTAGAGATGCGTAACAATCAGCTGTATCGTTTGATCTGTTCTGTGGCATCTGTAGGTGTCCCACTTCTCATCCATTCCTGAACAGGCACACCTCCGATGCTGCAGCACTCCTTCCCATCTGCCGTTAAGAAGCTTTTAATAGTGGTGTCAGCTTTTGAGATGTAATGTTAAACTGAGTCATCACAGAACTTTGTGGTTCCTGAGAAATGTTTCTTCTGCTATGGAAGGGTCTCCTGACCCCTGTCCCACGCTAGGATAGGCATATATCTAGACAAAATGGTTTCATGGTTCAAATCTGGTTCTGTGATGTTTCTTATGCTCCCGTTGTTTAAAATGGGTGTTTTAAAAACTTTTTTGTGCTCTGGAGTATGTGAAGACTGATATTACCTGAAGCCCTTGCTTAAGCATAAGGTGATGGTGCTGGCTACATCTTTCCCTTCCCATTTCTCTTTGACTTTCAGATTTTCCCTGAGAGCATTCAGCCCTTTTAAACCCTGCAGAGCATTTCGTTGTGCAACTGAATCATCTTCCCACTCTGCCTCTGCAATCAGCAGGTTCCCAGTTTCAGAGAACTTGCTTACATCCCTGCTCCTGTGGTGTGTCACTGTCTACCCAAGGGACATGCAGGTCTGGGACAGGAGTCCTGGTGTCCCTGGATGGGTCTTGAAATTCTTCCCGGAGAGGATGGGGAGGCACTGGGACAGGTTGCCCAGAGAAGCTGTGGGTGCCCCATCCCTGGAAGTGTCCAAGGCCAGGCTGGATGAGGCTTGGAGCAACCTGGTCTAGTGGAAGGTGTCCCTGCCCGTGGGCAGGGGTGGAACTGGATGGTCTTTAAGGGCCTGTCCAACCTAAACCATTTTGTGATTCTATGAAATGCAGTGACATGAGTTGCTTCAGCTCCTTGAATTCTTGCTCACTCAATCCCGTGCTTGAGACTGAAGTGCTGACACGCAGAGCAGGTTGGTAGATGGTAAATCGGGGGCGCAGTTCCCGATGGACAAATACCTGCTTCACAAAATCTGCCCTGGGTGGTGGCCTTGTGGCTGCGAAGGCCAGAGCTTGATGCACTTGGCGTGTGCCACTAGATGGCTCTTACGAACCGGTCCTGAGGCACAGGGTCCCTGGGCTGGTTTGCTCGAGCCTGCTGCCAACAAACCGGTGCCTTGGGGACTGGGAAGAGGCGTGTGGTCTGCTGCAGGGTCCTGCCGGGGCATGGAGCTCTCGGCTCTGGGGGGTCTCAGTCGGGTGCCAGCAGGTATCTCTGCATCCCCCTTCCTCCAGAGCTCCTCCCCTAAAGCCCGTGTCCTGCTAGTGCCTCTGCTTCTCCCTGCGTGCCATCAGTGTCTACTTGAATATGAGCCACTGCCTTCCGAACACATACTCAGAATACTGCGGTGTCTTTGTGGTTTTCACTTGCTGGCTTTAGGACTGTCTTACACTCCGGCAGGTTGAAGCCTGGTTAAGACCGGTAAACTTCATCTTGATACTGTTGGCCCATGGATGGTATAAAATGTCACCTCTTCTTGGGGCTGTGGAACAGGCAAATTGATGGCCTGGCTCCATCCTCCAAATATTGCTGTCATGGCAGTGAGAGGGGAGATACTGCTTCCTGTTTCTCCAGTCAACCCAACTGGACTTCTTGTGTCCAGATTTTGTGGTGACTTTCCCATATTCCCTCATTTCTGTGTGCAACATACAGCCAACATTTTAATATTTTCTGAAAAATACAATCCTGATTAATCACTGGTCCAAGATTAAACACTCAACAGAGTAACTGAGAGTGCAGCTAATGCTATTTCTGTATTACTGTTTTCAGGCCATTCCCCGAGTTGTCTGCTTGCTGCTCGGGCTCCAGTGGTCACTGTCTAGGGCTTGCTGCTCGCACATCGTATACCTAGTCTGGATTTCAACCCCTTACTATTTTTTGTCTGTCTGCTTGGAAACTTGCTGATTGTAATGCATTTGGGCTTTTCTTTTGAAAATGCGCCATTCTCTGTACAAGCCTGTGCTGTTAATTGTAAAAAATTGCAATTAGAACTATCTCGGATTCTGTTTCAGTTACTGTAATCCAGATAACCACCTATGTTAGCTTCTAGCTTTAACTCTCTCCCTTAAGAGACATCACCATTCTTTATTTTTTTCTTTTGTGACTTCTTTCTCTTTCAGTATGTGCGGTATATGGAGAAGAAGTTCTTCTGGTGTGCCTACTGGGTAGGATTAGGCATTCTGTCCTCCGTTGGACTTGGAACAGGTCTTCACACCTTTCTGCTCTATTTGGTAAGCATATTTCCATCCTGTGTTCTTTCCAAACGCAGTATTTTAATTGTTGCATATTTCGAAATCTGTGAATAAAGATTATTCCGTAAATCCCAAATAAGTACTTCTGAAGGAAAATAAATACTTAGTGCAATGCTTCTGTGCTCTAGTGAATGCGATTCATATTCCACGCTGTATAACCTAGTTTTGCAGTTCGTATGCTGTGTGTTTGTTGAACTGTAGATATTAGCCTGTTGTTAATCCTCACTTGAAACGAGTCAAACTCTGCAAGCTCTATCCTCTAGTTTCCTAATTAAAATGAAACATTTTCTAGTGTGCGCAGCTCAAATGTTTCCATTTAAAATTTTTCAGCATACTCTCTTCTAGTAGCTTAAAATGATCGTTTTTCTAGCTGAAACCACTGAAATAGGCAGCTAGTGTGAAATTTAGTATATATTAATTTTGTTTTGAAAATAATAGCAAGACAAAGGTTTGTCCACAAAGATAAAATAATACCTTGTTCTGAAAACTTGTGTCATGTTGTTTATCTCAACTTAGCTAGGAAAGTTAGGGAAATGTTTGGGTGTGTTTTTGCTTTTGGCCATTGGATTAGTTTCTTGTTTATGAAACCACTGTCCTGGATTTAAGAAAAGGATTCATGGCCACAAAATAATTAAAACCAGTTTATGCAACGAATGTCATCTTGTATTTGGAACAATTACAGATGTTTACTTTCAGAACTGCTTTAATCATTAACAATAACACAGAAAACACTACAAGAAACAAGGACCTCGTGCTTTTCCACACAGCAGGGCAGTGCCTGTTGGAGCGAATGGCATCTGGATGGGCTGCATTGGCAGTACTCTTAGACTTAGTGTAGCTTTCTTCCTGAAGACTGTGGAGGCAGAAAGTACAGGAGAAAGGAAACTGTAGCTACTCAGAAGCAAGCTTATGCATGCATAGCCTTCTAGACAAAAATATTGCTGTCATTCTAAATGACTGGAACTGGAAATTGGGTAAAGCTGATGAACTCAGTGTCCAGATGTTTTTATGTAACACTGGCTAGGGCTTAGACAGCAGTGAGTTGACAACGTGTATGATCTATCTCACTTACAGAGATGATGCTGTTAATAGCTTAGGGTCACTATGACACATGGGCTGGACAGAGGGAGAATGAATCAAAATCATCAGTCCCAAACGGAGGCACGCTGCCTCCTGGAGTGGCAAAGCAGCATTGGGTGATGTGTGAGGTGGAGTCAAGCTCAAACTCGGCTCAATCGGGGTTCTCTGCCAGCTTATGGTGGGAGTGAAAATGCAGAAGGATGGGATCACCTTCAGCAAGGAACAGGGAAGGGAAGGGAATTCCTGGTTTGCTTCAGCTGATCATTATTTCAGTCAGCATGTAGAAAACTTCTTAATAGTTTTTGATAGATCTTGATAGATTTTAATCTTGTTCTGCATTTCTTTATATTAGGCTATCAACCAGTGAGAGTCACCTTATGATTTCCTCTAATCAAAGATTTCACGTAAACGGACATCCTCCCTCAAGCAGTTTGGAGAGCTTATACAGTTCCTATTCTTAATTTTTACACACGTTGTGTCAGCAATATAGTACATAAGAAGTGTTATCCACCATTTCTAAACTGCATTTGAAAGTGGGTAATGTTTCTTTGCTGTGCATTGGTCTGTCATTTTATAACCTAAGCCACTTCAAGAGGATTTTGTCACATAAAGAAGTCTTCATAAGACTTCATAAGTCTTCACCACTTCTTTTTTCCTAAAAGAAGGTGGAATTAATTGACCTTTCTTTTACTCTGTATTAAAAAAAAAAAAACCAAAAACACAGATGTTTAAATAGTTCTAAATTACTTTAATAGAAAACAAATTAAATTTCACAACGTATCACTTCACTTTTCCTGTGGGGTATGCAAATCTAGTGGATATATTTAGGTCATGACCTAGACTGACGTTAAAGTACCATATATAAAATGTAACTTCTCTGCTGGCTTGTCAGTATAATTTATGGTGAGTGTATGGCAGGTGGACAGCCTTCCAAAGATTACAGGGAGGTGCATTGCCTAGGAAAAGAAACTTAGTTGAATATTGTTAATGAAGATATTTATTTGGAGTGTAAGAGGCAAGTTTTCACAGAACTTTATTATGAAGGGGAAAACAGACAAAATAGATTGCCTTGAATAATTAGAAGGAAGTTAATGAATAAAATGTAATGAAACTATATCATCAACATCTAATATGTAACAGTACAGGAGAAATAACTTGTTTGCTTTAAATATATGAGGCAGAAAGCATGGGGTTTTTTTACATTGAGCGGTTTCCATAAAGGCTTCTTGAGTGTAAGGAAGAAAAAGAAGCAAAGATTAATTTTCCTCTTTTCTCCTGTGCAAGATTAAGTGATCGTTATGGACTGTGAATTTAGGACCGTTGCTCTTTCTGGGCACTGAAGGCTTGTCTAACTCCGAGGGGTTCGTTTGGTGGCCTGTGGCTGGCACTGTAGCCACTAGATGGCAGTGGGAATGTAAAAACACAACCTCATTGCCCTGACAGCGCGTTGCCATTTTAAGAACCTGAACTGCTAATGTTCTTATCAATACAGCTACATCAGCAATATCTACATGTAGTAATAGACCTCTTACTACCTTCCCAGCCTGAGCCTACACCTTGTGTGAAAGGGCACACGGAGTACTAAAGACTGTTGGTACAACTTTTGAGGGTAAATAAGTCCAGAATAGTATTCTGGATTTAACCCATCTGGAAACAATGCAATTAGGAGCTTCAGCTTTCAAAAGGAGGAGTTTTAAACTAATTTGCTTTGTTAGTTGTGCAGCAGTTGCCTCTAAAAGTAGAAATATGATAGGTTAAGCGGGGAACTCGCTGTATTAACTTTACATTATTGTGTATCTACTTTTCATGTTCCATATACTTTAATTAGGTTTCTTCATTATGGTAAAAATTATTCTTCTATTGATTCACGGAAATGAAAAGTTATAAACCACCAAATCCTGTTCCACTTTAGTGCCTCGATTTGCTTGCAGTAGAGAATAGACTCAGTAAGTGTTTTAAAATTGCTTATAATTAATTGCTCATTTTAAATCTGTATGTACAGTGAGATTGTTGGGAATGCAATTACATGCTCAGAGAACAATGCTCTCGGGCCCACCCATGTGCTGCTGAGCTCTTGTTGATGCTCGCAGCATTGTCTCTGCGTGAAGGGCCAGCGGCTAGGAATTGATGGCATGTAGGCACCTGCTCAGACAGTGCGCCCGAACTTCTTCAGCTGTGACACAGGTGCATGGTTCTGAACCACAGCTCGCCATTGACTGCCAACTGCTATTTTTATATCGCGCTGTCCATAAGCACAGCCTCTTAGCTGCGCAGATCACAGAAGTAGTTACGCAATCGGTGCCGTATATGAATGACTCTGGCTGTTTGCTTTCCCTGGCCTGGTTAGCTGTTCTTCCAGTGCTGAAAACTGTCATTTGTCTGGATTCTTCAGAGCATCTCTCACCAGCTGCTTTTTGGGCTGCCATGAACTGAAGTGCCAGGAGAGATCCTGGGGTTAGCTGAGAAGAGATTACTTGGAAGCAGGTTGCTTAAAGTAGATTTTACAGTTTTGGTGTGGCGGGGCATGTTACTGCGCCTGCTTAATATTGGTTCACCTCTGATTTGGATTTTGTTAGTCACCAGAACATTCTTGATGCATACATCTCAGTGTAGGAGGGAGAAGTCAATTCTGTCTGTTTGATAACAGGCTTTTTATTATTTCCGTGACTCAAGAACTTTGGTACAAATGGTCTGAACATTGTCTGCCCTATTGGTTCCTACTTTAGTGCTGCTTCCTTAGTTGTAGCCAGTACTAAATGTAAAATTTGACACGGCTTTTTGGGAAACAATTCTCCTGCTGCAAATTGGCACTGAGCTGAGGGCTGGCACGGAGCAGGTCTTCAGTGCAGAAATGGGGAAGCAGGCCACTCTTCCAAGAATCCTTTTTATTCTGACACTTTCAAAACAAGTCTGCTGGCTTATTTTCCCAAAGTCCATTAAAAGGTTTTCACAATTCTTTAAAAACAACCCTTTAAAAATAGTAATCCTGATGTGGTTCTGTAGGAAATAAAACTATTATGATTAATGACTCTAAATACTGTTTTTAGCAGCATGCAGCTTTTTTTCTTAGTCCTGAGATGTTTTCTCTTCTATTGGTAGTATATTAAAATATAAATGGCATGAATCACCGAGCGACCAGAAGAAGATGACTGAGGGCAATTCATCAGGAATTTCTAGCATTTGTACATCTTGGAGAGGTTTGTTTGCTGACAAAATGTAATGACTGAGCTGCTGGAGTTTGGACCGCGCCGCCATTGCCATCTTCACGCAACGCTCTGCCTCGTGATTTGGTTTCAGTTCAGCTCTGGCAAAGGAATTGCAAAAGATGTGGCCGAGGCAAACAAAATCAGCTTAGAATTAATGCCTATCAAAACGGCTTGTGCGAGAAGTGGATGATAAATGTCCCTTCTGTGTATGGTCCGTAATAATCTGTAAGGGTGGGGGATGAATGGAAGCGAATTCCTTACAGGTCAAAAGTGCAGAGCAAGCTTTGGCTGTTTGCATTTGTTTGTGTTTTTGTTTCTTAAATATGGATCTCTGCTGGCTTGCTGATAGAGCCAAGTGGAGCAACTGCTGAAAAGGGTTTTGCTGGTGGCCGGGTTTGGACTAGCACAAACAGGAAACGTGAGGTACAATAGGAATGTTTTGTGTGCGGAGGTCACACAAGAGTTCAGATTTTTTCAAAACTCTAATATGTGGATTTGTCACTTAATTCTTACGGGGGCTTTCTCTAGCAGAGTGGAAGAGAGCACGGCAATAATTCCAGGCCATGAAAGAGAACAGAAAACTGCCTTTAAAGAGCAGTGAGTTGAAAAGACAGTGTTCTTATTGACAGTCCTGGCTTCAGAGAACCAGTTGGAGTTTATCTGAGCTTGAGGGTTCAATGTCTCCCTTTTGTT